GGTTGAGTACCATTAAACCTAAAAGCTTAAGAGAAGTTAATATAACAAAAGCTGGCTTCTATGGAGGAGATATTCTGTACTTAGCTTTCTAACACTTGTTCACAAGAAAACAGAAGGCAAAGAAAAAAAGAAGCCCTCTGATAGAGGTGGACACCCAGAAAGTAATTTGTAAACTTTGGACTGTGACACTGAAAAGCATATGGAATTTTAGCCATTAAAAGGGTAGTAGTACTAGTCTACTACCCAATGTATTAAGAGATAAAAATACTGTATAATTTCACAGCACAATAGAAAAGAACAGTAAGGATTATCAGTATCATTTTTAATACATCTGCTCTATGGATTTTTAAACAATAGAAAAGATTAGACTTTTTAAAAAATATATTCTTCAGATTAAAAAATAACGGGCCGACCCCATGGCGCACTCGGGAGAGTGCGGCGCTCCCGCTGCAGGTTTGGATCCTATATAGGGATGGCCGGTGCGCTCACTGGCTGAGCGCGGTGCAGCCGGTCACACACACAAAAAAAAACACATTTGCCAGCCCATAATTTAGTATAAAAAGTACAAAGAAAATTTTTAAAATGATGCCTTAACACTTTTATGCATTTATCTTGTCTTCTTCCTTCATGCAAAACACATTAATTTTCATATGCTACTTTCTTTCACCTATCACATGGTGAGGACCTGACCAATGTAAGTGAACATTTCCTGAATATACCAACATATCATTTTAATGGGTACAGATGGACACCAAAACTGTACTTAATTTTCAACATTCAGAAAACATTGTAATGAGTATCTCTGTACGTATCTTTGTATGAGTTCCTTCAGCATTATCAAATCAAAGATTACAAATGATTTTATGGTTTATAATGTTATATCCATCTGATTTCCAAAGAAGTTGTGTAAGTGTATACTCTCACGAGCACTGTATAGTTATGCTTCCTTCACTGTACTCTTTTCTACAATGAGGACTTCTAGTTTTAGTAATCTTTACTATCCTGAAGGAAGGGGAAAAAAAGGGCAATAAGGGAGCTCTAGCCCCACCAGATATTCAAACATATTCTACCAAGGGTGGGGATGGGGAAATCAGCTGAAGAAGATAAGAATGGAAGCATGACTTCTAAGTATTCTTTCATGAATAATTTTGAGCCATACAAACATTTTAAAAATTCAAAAATTAAAACAGAAAAAAGCAAAATTGAAAATAATTGAGCCTAAATGTATAACAAATAATNTTGTATGAGTTCCTTCAGCATTATCAAATCAAAGATTACAAATGATTTTATGGTTTATAATAAGTTATATCCATCTGATTTCCAAAGAAGTTGTGTAAGTGTATACTCTCACAAGCACTGTATAGTTATGTTTCCTTCACTGTACTCTTTTCTACAATGAGGACTTCTAGTTTTAGTAATCTTTACTATCCTGAAGGAAGGGGAAAAAAGGGGCAATAAGGGAGCTCTAGCCCCACCAGATATTCAAACATATTCTACCAAGGGTGGGGATGGGGAAATCGGGTGAAGAAGATAAGAATGGAAGCATGACTTCTAAGTATTCTTTCATGAATAATTTTGAGCCATACAAACATTTTAAAAATTCAAAAAATAAAATTAAAACAGAAAAAAGCAAAATTGAAAATAATTGAGCCTAAATGTATAACAAATAATAACATGACTATTTAAAGATAGGAATTACTTTGAGAACTTACACATATTGTACTCTTCCTGTATACATTTTGTACAGAGAACAAAATGAAGTGGAAAGAAAACCAAAGAGTATTCCCTAACTGTCTACCAAAAGGGCAGAAACACCCCAGTAGAAATGAGCACAGTTAGCTCACGTAGATCTTGGCTTCTGAACACCAATCCCCAATAAAATGAACTAGAAATCCTTGGTCAGTGTCAGTCTTCAGACCTGGGGCAGGTAAAGCACTACGTAAACCTAGGACATTTTGTGCCCTGGTTTTGAATCATGGCTCCGCTGCCACGTCATTGCTACATGACCTTGGGAAAGTCACTTATCTTTGTGCTTTGGTTTCCCCATCTATGGGAAGGGCCTTATAACAATAGCATGTATCTCATAGATGGTTGGGAGGATTAAATAAGTTAATATANACAACACCAAGTCAAGGGTTAAGATCCCCTTACCAGTCATCTTTAAAAAAAAAAAGAAAATTAGAATTAAAAGATAATATGTATCTTTCCATAAACTTTTTGAAGTACCCTCATATGTAAAGTGCTTAGACAAGTGCCATAGTAGGCATCAAGTGCTTAAAACAATAAAAAATAAAAAAAAACTTTCTTGTTGTAAATCCCCACTTAACATTTTAATATTCGTTCCATCCATGCCTCTAGCATTACTCTATCTCTTGAACTTTAGGCACCCACAGAGCAAACCCATGTCAATTCTATAGTTCTAACTCAAAATGGTTCTTAATAAATGTTACTGGATGACATTATTCATAAAATAAGCCAACATATAAAATAAAAATGAAAGATGTAATCTATTACCTCTAGATATAGTAAAAATCTCTGAAATACTCCAAGGTTATGTTTTCTCTAAATTTTGACCTGGTATCTAACATTTCATGAAAAACAAGGCCCATTTCATGAAAAACATTTCATGATAGAAGGCCCACTGGTGCCAGATCAATCCACTAGCAATTAGATGGCCTACCTGATCTTACCAATTTCTTGCCCACAAATCAAAAATTTGAAGTTAAAAATTTTATGAAAAATATGAAAAAGAAAGAAGTATCAAAAGGAGCTTTGGTATCTACAAAAAAAATACTCTATCTATTATTATATGTAAATAAAAAGTGAATATTAAAACAAATGGGACAAAATATTAACTGGTGAATCTGGATAAAGGACATATAGAAATTCTTTGTAGTATTCCTAGAGCTTTTCTGTAAGTTTGAAATTACACCAAATACAGAGTTTTATAAAAATCATCACAAGAATCCATCCTTGCTGTATGGACTTACCTGTCTCTCGCTCACTCGAAGAGGGCCAAACACAATACACTGGATAAGCTTAGCCACCAACATCAAAACACAGCAAGCAGTATTTACCAGAACCTGTACACAAATCAAAGGAAGGAAGTTTAGGGCCAGCCCGTGGCTCACTTGGGAGAGTGTGGTGCTGATAACACCAGGGCCATGGGTTTGGACCCATATAGGGATGGCCGGTTGCTCGCTGGCTGAGCGTGGTGCTGACAACACCAAGTCAAG